GGCGCCGGTTCTAGTCCCGGCTGCTCCACTTCCCACCCAGCTCCCTGCTTGTGGCCTGGGAAAGCAGTCGAGGATGGCCCAATGCTTTGGGATCCTGCAACCGTGTGGGAGACCTGGAGGAGGTTCCCGGCTCTTGGCTTCGGAACAGCACAGCAGTGGCCATTGCAGTCACTTGGGGAGTGAATCCTCAGATGAAGATCTTCCTCTCTGTCTCTCCTCCTCTCTGTATATCTGACTTTGCAATAAAAATAAATCTTTTTTTTTAAAAGCAGACTGATGTTAATTTCAGTTGCAATTCAGCAAAGTTTTACTTTGTCTTTGAGTTTGAGTCTGATGAATTAACTTCATTTTCTTCTGACTTGTGATTCTGCTGAGGCCACTATAAATTTCTTCTAAGCAGTACAGATTTAGCCTCTGGATCCAAGCTCTCCACTCCACTACCAGTCTTAATGCCTTCCTCCTTGATGCAGATCACATAAAGAGGAAACAGATGGCTGCAGAAATCTCTTGTGACTTGACCACTCTCCAAAGGGGTCTTCACAATTGAGGGTTTATCTACATGCCTTCACATGATCACCAAACACAAGCCAACACCCCACAATTCTGGCTCAGGCTGTTTAAGACACCCACTAAGACAAAAATCTTATGATGAGAAGAGATACCATGCCGTGTTCTTTGATTTCTTCAGGTAGGGTTTGAGGCTTCCAAAGCCTTTTTATCAATGGTCAAACTCCAGGGAAGTTGGAATCTGGCTCACGGACCAGTAGCAAATGCGCCTGCTCCTTACCACACACCCGAGGCAAGACTAAGTGCTATGTATGAGTTTGCCCAACTGCTTTCATAATCCGTTTGAGGCAGAGACAAGCATCATCCTTTTACCATACATAAGCAACCAGCCTAGGAGAATAAAGTAACTTGCTCAAGGGCCACACATCTAGCACGTTGTGGAGCCGGGATTTGGGCCAGGGTCAGGAAATGACCATTTCTGTTCCCAGGGGCAGACAAGAAAAGGCACCTTTCTAGCCCAGCTCTTTCTTGGGTTTTCTGCCTGGGTAAAACTATACAGTTCAGAGGCTGGTATTGTGCATAGGGGTTTAACACATTGCCTGCAACACTGGCATCCCATGTGGCACCAGTTTGAGTCCTGGTTGCTCCACTTCCAATCCAGCTTCTGGGTAATGGACTGGGAAAGCAGCAGAGGATTGATTGCCCAAATGTTTGGGGCCCTGTACTAACATGAAAGAATCAAAGAAGTTCCTGGCTTCAGCCTGGCCCATCCCTTGCTGTGGTGGCTAACTGGAGACTAAACCAACTGATGCAGGATGTCTATCTATCTATCTATCTATCTATCTATCTATCTATCTATCTATCTATCTATCATGTATTTATCTAATCTCTTCTTCCCTACCTCTCTGTCTGTTTCTGTCATAATAGAACTATTGTACTATCTAGCCCGATTCTCTTGTGTCGCATCCAACCAGCCATGCAAGCTTCTTCAGAAGACCAAGGACAGTTATCCTGATGGGCAGGTATCTGGTAGCTGGCAGGTGGCAGGCGACAGCTGGCAATCAGATGCCTGAACTGGAGCAGGAAACTGAAGCTGCCTCGGCTGAGTCCTGGCCGAGTCACAGACTTCTTGGTGGGCTCCTCCTGTCAGGGACAATGGGGCCTGAGTAATTGTGGATGAGAAAACACAGGAAGAATGCTGTCATCCTTTTAGTATATTGCCTGCTCTTACATTAATACTGTCTGCTTGTTACTTTCCCCTAGAACCATAAAAACTGCACATTCATATACAGGTTGAATACCGCTTATCCAAAACACTTAGAAAAATAAGTGCTTCAGATTTCTGATTTTTTGAATATTTGCATAAGTACATACATTAGAGATATTGAATTATATGTATAAACACATTGATGGAGATGAGAGCCAGGCTAGACACAAAACCCATTTGTTTTATAACTATTTTATATGAAAGCCCAAGGTAATCATATACAATTGTCATATATTCTTAGTGCACCCATGTTTTGACTGCAAATTGTCACATGAGGTCAGGTGTGGAATTTTCACTTCCTGCTTCATGTTAGCACTCAAAGTTTCCTAATTTGGAGCAGTTCATATCTTGGATTTTCAGATGAGGGAATGCTAAAACTATCACAATCACATTTTTAAACCGAATGGCCAGGTGGCCAGGTAGTTAAGGTGCCAGTTGGGACATCCTTGTCCCACATCTAGTGCCTGGGCTGGATTCCCTGCCTCAGCTTCAGACTCCAGACTCTGCATAATGTAGACCTGGGAGGCAGTGGTGATACCTCAAGTAATTAGGTTCTTGTCCCCACACTGAGAGATTCGGTTTGCGTTCTCAGCTCCTGGCTTTGATTTGGACCAGCCCTGTCCATGGCAGGTATCTAAAGAATGAACCAGGAGGGCCTGGCGTGGTGGCGCAAGTGGTTAAGGTCCTCACCTTGCACACCCGGGATCCCATATGGGCGCCGGTTCTAATCCCGGCGGTCCCACTTCCCATCCAGCTCCCTGCCTGTGGCCTGGGAAAGCAGTCGAGGACAGCCCAAAGCTTTGGGACCCTGCACCTGCATAGGAGCCCTGGAAGAGGCTCCTGGCTTCAGACCAGCATAGCATCGGCCGTTGTGCTCACTTGGGGAGTGAATCCTCGGATGAAGATCTTCCTCTCTGTCTCTCCTCTCTGTATATCCGCCTTTCCAATAAAAATAAAATAAATCTTAAAAAAAAAAAAAGAATGAACCAGGAGACGGTGGATGAGAGTGCTGAGTATGTGAGCACATTGTTTCTGTATGTCTGCTTTACTCTCTCAAACAAAACAAAACATTTCAGTTCACTAAGAACTTTGGAAGAATCTATGATGGAGCTACAATCTGCAGCTCTACTCTCACAACCTGGCTAGGCATCTGTGTTCAGCTCTGAGGAAGGAATCTTTTTCCTGCCTTATAATGCTGTTCTGATTTCCAAATACATGTTCATACAGTGCCTCGTACAAGCTACTCTGCCACAAGCGCTCTCCATGGTATGATGGAATGATTCCAGTGCCTGCTTCTGTGGGGGTGTGGCGAGGACTGGGTCTGCACTCGTCCGGGCAGAAGGTAGAAAATACCTCTGTATGTCTTGCTGCCATCATTCTTTCTATTCATTGAAAGCTCATCGTTATAGATCTGGGGACAACTCCAGCCCCCTCCCCCACTTTCCCCTGGTTGCTTATCCATCATCCCAGCCCCGAATAAACAACAATTCACTTTGTAAGAGGTTTTTAATTTCATCTCAGTATGTCATTAAGGAGTGGAATAAGGATCTCTATTCATTTTCAGTCACATAGGATCTGCCACATTCTCCAACTGATCTTGACCACAGAAGCCTGCGGAGCCATACAGCAGCTGCATAATTTTCACGCACCAGACTGATTCGGGTTTCTTGGTGGTTTGCATAAATTACAAACAAGAGCACAAAAATTACACAACACAGACTCTACTGTAAGGGACATGTTCCCCCTGGCCTTGCAGAGTGAAGGGGACATGACGCTCAATTCAAGACTCTGATAACATTCCTGGGTGTGAGGTCAGTCTGGCATCGCCCCTCTGACATGAGTCCAAGCTGACCCTCTGTTTCTCCACCTACTCACTCTGGCTTCCTCAAAGGCCTCCCAGCACTGCAATGGGAGATCAGGGTGTGGACCTGACTTCCTGTACAAACGCTGCTGGGTCATCCATGTCCAAGGTCAGACAAGTTGAGCCTAGGCGAAGGGCGCTGGGCTTCCCTGTCTCCATGAGTTTTATGAGGCAGTTTAGAAAATGACTCTCTGCAACAAGGGCCCTCAACCTGTTACGTCTGAGATGGCCACTCTCAGGTTTTACATCTAATCCATCACTTTCTCCTCCTTTTTAAAAAATAATCCCTTAGAAAATAAAAACCAGGCCCTGAAGCTATAGCTTGTTGCTATCAAGCTCCCCTCATCCTGGGACTCCTCTCCTCTGAAGGATGAGGCATCCCCTGAGTTGCCCCATGCTGCTGTCCCTACCAACCCATGTAGTACAGAGGGTCCTGGCAGGCAATGTTGCCCCAGGCATACTCCTTCATTGCCTGAGGAATGCAGGAGAATTTGAAGCCAATGCGAAATTTCAGTCTCAGCCCTGCCCAGGTGCCATGGGAATGAACTATCCCCATTGCCCCCAGTGAGGTAGGTGCATGCTGTCAGCCTCATCCTCACTTGGCAGATGCTGAAGTTCAATGGCAAGAGCCAGCCCTCCTAACACTGCCTGACAACCATGTCTCAGGACTGACGAGAAACCCCAAGATTGGGCTTCCCATTAAAAAAAAAAAAACACAATAGGGATCGCTCTAGCTCACAACAGCCCAGTGATTCAGCACCCCTAAGCAAGCAAGACTCTACAAGAGAACACTATCAGCCACCTAGAGTGGCTTTCCAGACCTCAAGGACACTCTGAAGACAGAATAAACTCAAGCACTCAAAGCTATTGGGCTGGGTGGAGCGCCCTCCTCTGCCCTGCCGACAAGTCTCTTCAAACTAAAAATAAAGTTTATAAAAGTAAATTATCTCATTTTATAACTTAAGTGCATCAAGCATTTCCTTAAATATAGTTCACACTGAAAATAAAGTTACTTTTGCTGTACAGTTGGTGTCTGTTACAATTAAGAATAAACTTTGATGATAAAGTATGAAAGACCACACACTCACACATCTACCTGTCTGTCTGCCTATGGTGTGGAGGTGGATAGAAATATGCACCTCCTGAAGAGAGCTTCCCCAAAACGACGGGAAGTTGTTAGGAGTCCCTAGGTATCTAGTTTGCATGAGAAGGTCTATATTAAAAGTCCCTGTCCTTAATGATAAACACATCTTCATATCTAATGCTAAGACTCTTATTAGAAACATTAAACTATGCAACCCATAATGTATTCAGTCTTTGGAAATGCTGAGCTACCCCGTATCATTACACAACAGCATCCCCAACAAAACTCCCTCCCCAGCCCACCTCTTTCCTAGCCTCCCTGTCCTCAAGCCAGTGATCCCTGTCTGCCATGATATGGTTGTTCCATACGGGAGCCTAGCCATGGAACTCCAGAGGGAGGCGACTCAAGAGGTGAAGTAAGAATTCTGCATGGAGTACAGGTGGTCAATGGGGTTTCCCACTCTGGACTGCAGGGGCCCAGCTTCCGAGGTTGCTAGGAAACAGTCACCCAGGTTACTGAGGGAGGTGTCGTCACTATCCAGGTCGTGGAAAAGGGGCTCAGCACCTGAAATGGAGATGAAACACTGGCATGAGGGTCTAGAAGCAGTGATTCCCATTACCTCTAGAAAATGCAGCTGAATTCGAGATGCACCTCCCTAGATGAAACTGTCACCTGGGTGCTGGGGAACAGGTGAGGGTGTTCAGGAGGACAATTACACAAAAAGACAGGAAAAGGCACGCCCTGGGCTCCATAGCCACTTGGGAGTAGTTGTGTCCAAAGTGCAACAAGTAAAAACAGCATACATGGTTATGTGACACAGTACTAAATTGAGTGCAGTATAAGCAAATGTCAGATGTCTAGACAGTTCATGGGGTAGCGAGCAGGATATTCACCAGAGACAGAAGCACAGGAGCAGGGCTCCTACAGGACTTAGGCCGCATGACATGGCTCTTCAAGGAGAATGGTGGAGAAACTGACATCAGGTTCTTGATTGAGGCTAAGGAGACCTCTCATGATGACATGTCTCCTTTCAAACAGCAAACACATAGGAAGCACCTGCTACTTCCCCAGATTTGCACTGCAGAGAAGAGGAAGGTTTGCAGCCTGCACTCAGTTCATCTACACTCAGGAGCGAAGCAGCAGGGTGTTCTAGAATCAGCGGAGGGACCACTGCAGTGGGACCTGAATGGTACCTTTGACCTCCACTTCAAGGAAACAGGACAGGTGAACAACAGAGCTTAGGGCACTTATCATGGGGCTTTCATTGTTCATCTTAGTAAAAGGCTCATAATCACAGCATCCTGGAGACAGTTTCACAAATGGAAAAATAATCATTTGCCATGTTTTCCTACAGCTATGAAGTGAAGAATAGCACAGACACGACACGTATATTCACAGGAATTGAGGAGCATGGACACACAGGGGTATGAATGAATGAGGTTAACCAGCACAGGGCCCATCTCATTAATTCAGTAAATGTCTGTTGAATGGATGTGTAAGGTAAAGTTTATTTTAACTGAGCTTCTTATTTTTAAAAAATGGGAAAAAATTGAAGGCGATAAAGAAAACATTGACAAAAATCTGTGAATGTGGGCATATGTCTCTAAAATTCATGTTTTAAAGAGTTACTGAATAAAACAATTTTCTAGTTATCAGGGTAATTTATCACAGATTCCACAGTATATATCAACATGCTGTATTTACTGCATACACCAGAAACCTTGTCTGTACAAAAATTCAATGGCTCAAACATAGCCCTGAGGTTGAATTTGAGCCTCTACTCCAGGGCTCGCCATCTCACCCTGCCCTTGACAAGTTCTCTAGGACATCAGCCGTTGTCTCTTGGCTTCAATATCGGTGTGGACAAGTGCTGGCAGCTCAGCTATCCACATACTCAGCATTTAAATCAATCCTAATTTGAAAGGGGTGAAGACAGGAAAGATACTTTTCAATGTACAGGACAGTTTGTGTTTTATAAATTAAAATTAGAACCCCTAAGGGTAGACCCTACTGGTAGGACTGTCCAATTAGAAAACATCTTCTGTACTTTAATAGTTTATTTCTGTAGGTAAATGTTTGCTTATTTCAGGTCTTCTGCCTACATTAGCACCACTGTTCCTTCTGAACATGTAACTGGCATGAAAGTTGTGGAATTCAACCACAACCTGCAGGTGGAAGCATAACTTGCTACTGAAACAAGCAAATGTTTTGAAAACTAGAATCAATGGAAACATAATATGCACAGGGGTCTTTCTTTGTTATTTTTTTTTGTGGCAATTGCTAACCATCTGTTCTAGCACTACTTTGTGAGACATTTATTTTACTTTGGAGAACTGCGAACTGCACCTAAGTGTTTGGGAGAGCAGAAACTCACATGAGCAAGTTGTGAGAGGGTGCTGGGGACTTAAGTCCCTCTTACCATAGGGGTGCATGTGGTCTCCAGGCATCTGGGGCGGGGTGAGACCCTGTCGGAAGGGATCGGAGCTGTAGACACTCTGCTCAATGGCCAGCAGCTGTTGTGGAGTGGGCAGGGCCGTGTAGGGGTTCATGATCCCTTCCATCCCAGCATTCCCGCTGCCATTTGTCTGAGCTGCAGGGCAAAGAAGAAAGCATGTCACTCTCAACAGTGCAGCCCAGGGTACCACGCTGTGAGGGCCACAGAGCATCCTCCAGGCTGCACGTTCCTCACTGGCAGGTGTCCATTCTTCCCCATCCTTGAGCATCCAGTCGGCTTCCACAAGAACCAGGGATCCAACAGAGAATAGAATGGAAACAAACATGTCTTTGATGGCCCGGCTCCAAAAATCATGCTCTAGGTCAGATATTGAAAGCAATCACACTACAGTATAGGTACCAGCAGGCAAAAACCATAGAGTGCTCTCTGACAGGCTGCATCTGCCCACGTTGTGTGATCATGGCTGGACAAGTCAGGTGATATCAGTGGTTCCCAGCACATGCCCTACCAAAGGCCATTATCTTGATGAATTGAGGTGGTGGTGGTGGTGGCTGGACAGTGGAACTGAAGATAGATCTTTGACATATATCACGTACACAGGATTTTGATGCTATATACAAATTTGCAAGCTTCTGGAGCAGATGAATCTAAAGGTTTTTCCAGCAATAACCCACTACAAACCCACCAGTCAAGTGGGAATTGTTACACTGGCCACCTTGGGGCTAATTTGATGATTCCATAAGATGGGAGTACAAGTGCTTTATGACTACAGCTTGCTTTGCTTGTGGTAAGGAATTGTGTGAGGAAAAAAGAGGATTCAGTTGTTACCATCGTGTCATGCTGTAGTTCCCTCACCTGGTTTCCATAAACCATCAGAGACTTTTCCCACTGGCCTCTGATTTCCTAGGTCTACTGTAGGAGCTGCTCCTGGAATGTTTTAACACAGCCCCAAGCACCACATGCTTATGTTGTCACAATACCCTTATGCATTCTTCTCTCCCTCAACTTGTTGGCCTACATGAAGTCAACTTGCATGGTTCTTTACAAAGGCCCTCCCATGTCTACGACCCTTTTTGAACTTCACCTGGACCCTCCAAGATAGGGCCGCCAGGTATTATTTACTCCACCGAGGGACACAAAACCTAAAGCATCACAAATAAATGGAAATGGTGGTCCCAAATCAAACAGCACTGAAAGTGGAGCTGAGCCCAGAAATCAATTCTCTTGACTCAGCTGCTCTACCTTTCTCACCACTTGTGCCCTTGTTTGTTTTTCTCTCCCTGCATTCTATTTGTTGCTAAAATACTATTTAGCCTAGAGGCTACGAAGCTAAGGGAACTCTTGGTTACAAGATTGAATTCTAGATTGACCCTAGCTCAGAGATCAAACACAAGGCAAAGTCCATACAAGAATAAAGAGCTCAGAGGGACCCAAGAACCAGAGCCATGTTGCGCAATCTTCATAGTATGATCCAGGGGCCAGCAGCAATGACATCACCCAGAAATGTGTTAAAAATGCATTCTTGGGGTCAGTGCCTTAGTGTGAAAGATAAAGCTAATGGCTGTGGTGTTGGCAGCCCATACTGGCACTGTCTGGAGTTTCAGCTGCTCAGTTTTTGATCCAGTTTCTGTTAATGTCCTGGGAAAGCAGCAAAGGATGGTCCAAGAGTTTGGGCCCTGCATCCTAATGAGAGAACTGACAGTAAGCTCTAGCCATTGTTACTTGGAGAGAGAATCAGCAGATGGAAGACCTCTCTCCCTCTCTCTTACTCTACCTGTCAAATAAAAATATATAAATCTTTTTTAAAAGTCATACTCTCAGGCCATACTTGGCGCTTATGAATCAGCATATATACTTTGCCAAGATTCCAGGTGATCTATTTGCACACTATAGTATGAGGCACCTAAGAAATTCTCCTGAATGGCTGAGTTAAAGGAATGTTTCTAATAATTATCTTTTCTGATATAGAGAAAATAAATTGGAAGATAAAATCTTCTTGGTGCCAAAAAAAGGCTGAAATCCATGCATAATACATATTTTCCATGAATTTTTTGAAGATAGCTCTTCAAAGTATATAGCAAAAGAGGTGAGCATCTTTGTGCTAAAATTGTTTTATTATTCTATTCTTTGCTGGAAACAGGGATGTCACAGAAGTGTCCTTATTTAAGTGTTAACCCGGAAGGAGGACTTGGTGCTATGGCTTAGATTTGGACTCCATGGACTCCTGTGGATGACACTTAGCCAGTGACAATAAGAGTTGTACAGGGTCTCATAGATCAATCATCAATAATCTTGTAGATCATTGGAGCCATGAGCCTCAGCGGAGATCAATACTAAGTGACTTAATTTTTGCAAGAAGGGGCTTTTGGAACTGGTGTTGTGATGCAGTGGGTAAGGCCGCCATCTCTACCGCCAGCAGCCTATACAGGCACCAGCTGAAGTCTTGGCTGTTCTGGTTCAGCTCCTTCCTGCTGCATCTTGAAAAGCAGCAGGGGATGGCCAAGTGCTTGGGCTCCTAAGGCCAGGTGGGAGACTCAAAGAAAGCTTCTAGCTCTTGGTTTCAGTCAGGTGCAGACCTAGTCATCACAGTTTTTTGGGGAGTGAACCGGAACATGGAAGCTTTCTCTCTCTCTCTCTCTCTCTCTCTCTCTCTCTCTCTCTCTCTGTGTGTGTGTGTGTGTGTGTGTGTGTGTTTCCCCTGTCTTTTCCTATAACTCTACCTTTCAAAACAAGTAAGAGCAATCTTAAAAAAGAAAAGGGGCTGTCATAACAGTGAGCCTGAGTCCTGAAACCTCTGGCTCTGTCTCTCCATACTATGATCTCTTCTGCAAGTGGTTTTTCCCTTCTTGCATCTCCTGTGCATTGTGATGCAACCAGGAGAGCCCTCGTCAGAGGCCAAACAGGTGAGACCTTAGCCTTTCAGACTCTTAAAGTGTGACCTGGAGAAGCCTCTTTTCTCCATAAAATACTCAGCCTTGGGTATGCATGTACAGCAACAGCCAATGAACTAACACAACTGGGCAAGATGAGAGCCCAGACATATCTTTGATTCTGCACACTATGGCAGACCCAAGCAAAGGGGATTCAAATAAGTTAGTACTATCTATACTTAGCAATTCCAGACCTGCAATTCAGTGCCTTCAGCCCTCTCACAAGGTCCTCCCAGCTCTGCCCTCTCTCAAAGGTCTCATCTCTCAGGCAGTGTGGACAGGCTCACTGTGTGCAGATGTTCATCAAGGAGCTGGGGAACTGGAGGCCCCCAGTGGGTGAGGCTGGGATCCCAGCCAGGACTAACAGGGAGAAACAGGCAACTTACCAGAACTCAGCCTCTGAGTGTTCTGCTGATCCTGCTGCTGTTGCTGCTGCCGCCGCGCCAACTTCTTCATCTGATGGGGAAAGTACCAGAAGGATTAAAAGTCGGTGACAAGCAGCAGCAGGCTCACAAGGTTAGGGGAAAGCCAGAAAGGATGCCCTGTGAGGGCTTGTTCACGAAGCAGGGACGAGTGGTTCCCCAGCTGCTAATCAATGAAAGAGCCACATTTGAGGACTAGTTCCTGGAGTCAGAGGCAGCACAGCAGAGGCTCATCTGCCTTGTAGCTGGCCAAAAAGTAAGGCTGTAGCTTGTCTTTGTGGGAACAGCAAACAGGACAGATTCATAAATACCCACATGAGGGATAATGGGCTGAGGACAGAGTGTGACTTGGAACAAGCCAAGCAGCTAAAGTTTCCCTCACTACTCCTTTTATCTGCTGGCCTTGGTGCCTGAGACAACTACAGGGAAATACAAACCCCCTACTTCCTAATGAAATACTTGCTCTGGGGAACACCGAGTTTCTGTGAGATGTCCAAGCATAGTTGAGCATGCATGGAGTATGCCACTTTTAAAATTGTTTCCTTACTCCAAGCTTCCCCCAAATTTTGCAGCTACCCTCCTCTGCTTTGTGAGTTTATGGGTCTCTCCAGCACACTGCCTCTGGAATCCTGTAGTCACACCAACAACCGTAATCTGAGGATTCTGTGGGGGAAATGCTGCCCTAATGATCACCATCAAGCAGTGCAATCATAACTCACTACACACTCAAGGTCAGGGATCCAGAGAACAGGTTCCTGTTTGGAGGCAGCAAGGTAAATGAGTGACGGGTCTAAAACAAAGACCTTGGTGGGGGCATACAAGGCTTGGTTGGACCCAGAGCACAGCAGGATGGTGTGGGCCCATGTTGGTGTGGAACAGCCATAGGAGAGAGCATGAAGGTGGGCAGTGCACCATGCCCAGGTTGTGCTGTCCCATCATGTATGCTGATGTAACACTCCCCTGATATTTCCAAAGAACTTTAGTATAGCATTAAACAGATGCAAATTAAAGAACACACTTTTTACTAAGAGACACAGAGACAGTTATTGATTCAGGGTCATTGCCTTCCAACTCCTGCAGGGCCTCTGAGACTGAAGCAATGATCGCTAACAGGGCTTTTTAATTGGGAGAGCCATGCTAGCAAATGGTTCCAGGTCAGAAAACCTAACAGCAAGGGCAAGGAGCAGGACTTCAAGAAACCAGCATCAGGGAGACAGACCAAAGTAACAAGACGCATATTACCTTAGCTCTCTGGTTCTGGAACCACACCTGGACCACACGGACACTCAGTCCTGTCTCTGCAGCCAGAGTCTCTCTCACCTTGAAAGAATTGAACATAGAAATGGAGAAACGTGGGCAGGATTCCGGGCAAGCTTGTGTCGGTAGTGCAGGGAAGGTCAACAGGCTCTTCTCCCAGAGGAGAAGCTGACCAGTGTGAGGACTCGGCACACACCCAAACCCAGGATCATGCTACCCTTCAGATATGAAAGTCTTTCACCAGGTTAAAAAAAGATTTAACAACCATTCATTTAAAGGTGTATTCAAGGTTCCCCTTACTCTGGAAATCAGACCTCTCAGACTTTACAAGTCTACTGCCACGCTCTTGCTGTAAGCCCCTTATATTTATTCACTCACTTAAGGAGAAATTGGAGTAAAAACCACTTCTAACTCTCTCGCTTAAATTCGTTAATCTACAATTTGTTCATTTTGGCCTACATAGTTTTATGTGACTTTGGGTGTCCAAGGATATTCACATTCACTGCCACCCCAAATGAGTCCTACGCAAAGAGCATAAAAGCCAAAAGGATACCAACCCTGCCAAGCACTCAGCTCTGAGGCAGACAAAGCACCAGGGCCCATGTACCAAGACCACTGGGATCCATACCACAAAGAATTGTGCTTAAACATCTGTCATCCAGAGGCAGGTGTTAGGCAGAGAGGTCAGCTCTGCCTTGGATGGAAAGTGCCTGGATCCACCTGCACAGGCTTTGTCAGAACAACACTTCCTACCATTCTGACCCCCACATGCCTGCTGAGGTCCCAAAGAGGCCCAGGTGCACTCAGAGAAGTGGGAACTGGAGCTCTTCCCTCTTGCCTTTACTCCTATACCTTCCTGCACGGCTTGGAGGAGACTTCAAAGGAGGCCTTGAATGCTCTCCTCTGCTGGGTTGTCAGGATGGTTCTGGGGCGTTTGGGACGCTTGTGGTCCTTGCCATCCTCTGTGGCTCCTTTTCCTGTCCCGTGGGCTGATTTGCAAAGGCTTTCTTCATCATCACTTTTGCCTAAAAGAAGCAGGAAAAAAAAAAAGAATATTAAATCTCCCCTAAAAGCCACTTCCTGGAGCTAAATGTGATTCTACAGCAAGGCATGTGGGTTCCTTTCCAGGATGGTTTTCTAGGATGCTGATTTGAAAATGTGCAGTTTTGGACTAAGAGAAATGATTCAAAACCCCAGGCAGGAACCAGAAAGTCCACCTTTATATCTCAAGCGTTATCACATTTACCAGCTGGGTAGCCCTGGGCAGATTGCTGGGTTCTCTGCAGCACAGCGTCCCCACCTGCAGAACCATAATGTAAGTAAAGTCCTGTCCTTGCACTTGTCATGAGCATTAGATGAGCTAATTTCCAGCAGTTATTTAGAACGCTGCTTGGCATATATAAGAATTGTTCAGTACATGCCGATTATGATTCTTAGATGACTTTCTCAAGACTGGGATTGCAATTCTAGCCACTGATGGGAAACAGAAAATAGGGCTGTTCAGAATATCATAGAAGACCAGCATGAAAGGAACTAGAAGTAAAGAAAACTGAGAATGCAAGGCATAAGTGATAACTAAGCAAATGGCATTATGATGTAGTGCGGTAACTCACTGGTGACAGCAGCATCCCATATTGGAATACGTTGAAGCAACATTGTGAATGAGGGGGAAAGAGCTGTACAGTATATTTAAAAGACAGTTATAGTAGCATCATAAACGTCACGCTTTTATCAATAAAAGTGTTACACACCATGCACGTAGAGTCAAATCTGATATTCCTACATTCCTCACAGAAGCTGATCCAAATGCAAAGTGGTAACTCATAACAAGCTAACCAAGGAAAGAACCAAGTCAAAATAATGACAATGCTTCATGTCTGCTGATGCCACCAGGAAAGCCAGGTGGCGGTATATCTATGAGCCTGACTTGGCAGCCAAAAGAAACCAAAACCAAAACAAACAAAACTCAGGTGGCTCTCTGCCTCTGCCAGTTACTAGGTGTAATTTTGAATCTATTCTCAGGACTCTTGTTTTCTCAACAGGAAGAGCATCAGTGTTGTTGAAATTAAATGAGGTGATATATGCAAAGGGTTTAGCAGTTAGGTCCTCAATAAATAGTATTATCATTTCAATATAAAAATGTATTCTTAGTCTTGGGCACATGTTTTCAGTCTCATATCCATGAGGGACTGAGTAAAGGAGGTTTTTGTTTTTTTTTTTTTTTTTCAAGAGACAGAGAGACACACAAAATACCCTTACCATCTGGTTGATTCCTCCAAAGCCTGCAACTTCCCAAGATTGGGCCAGTGCTGGAGGTGGAAGCCACACAGTCCAGGTCTCCTAGATAAGTAGCAGGAACCTGATTACTTGAGCCACCACCTGCTACCTTACAGGGCCTGGAACAGGGAAGCCGAGCCAGGGATGGAAACCAGGTCCTCCAGTGTGGGATATGGGCACCTGAACACACTTAACAGCTAGGCCAAATGTACACACCCCCAAGCTAAGGTTTTACAACACATTGTTTTATTTCTCTCTTTGCAGATACGCCCTAGCCAACACAGTGAGTCAGTGTTGTAGAATGTGAGTGTGTAAGTGCTTGCAAGAGAAGAGAGAGAGCCGGGGAGACAGGGCTGATTCCTGGATCAAGAAGCAACTCCTGATGTATGTTTAGAGGCAGGAAGGCTGAGGGCCCAGAGGTCTCAGTTTTCTGGCCCTGCACTCAGCCTGGCCTAAGGCACTCATCCATTTCTGAAGAGTTACTGCCCCATCAGGAACCCCGGAGCACCATCTTCTCTTGGAGCTGTCATGTCAAGGCCCGTTTCCAGAAGAGACAGAGTGGCCTGCAGGTGGCTGTTCACACACTCCCTCCACACCCATAGATGATGGGATGATGGCAGACAGGAAAACATGCTTGTCTTGAGGAGGAAGAAGGGGAAGGATCATGGTGGTCTTCTCTGGAGGGTGTCTGTTTCTTTGAAATGTCTTTCCTCCCTCTCACTCACCTTTTTCATTGTTCAGTATCTCCCTCTCTCTTCTGACTCCGCAACTCTCCCATGCTACCCTCCAAAAACCATTCATGCCCTAGGCCAGGAGTCTCCAAACTTTCTCTGTAACATGGCAGACGGTCAATGCTTCGGTCTTTGCAGGTCGGTGACTTCTATGGCAACTACTTGGTTCCAGCATTACAGCATGAATGCAGACACAGACAATATGTATGAACCATTATGGCCTCGTACAATCCATTGCTGTTTCAAAAGCAGGCACCATGCCAGCTTTGGTTATAGTTTATTGAACCCAGCTCGAGACTTCTTCCTACTTCCTAGTATTCACCAAAGCATGGTTATCATCCCCCTCCTCCCTCCCAACCTCGTCCCATTCTTTGGGCTCTGACTCCAGGGTCTGGAAGCCCTGCTCATCTAAAGTACTGTGGAACTAACGGTTACCATGGTCTGATGTGCTACCCCCAACACACCGAGCAGGAAAAGCTTCCACCCAAGCAATCACCAGTGAGAAATCTCAGGTGTCTCTGCAGGTCAGAGTGAGACAGATTCTGCAAAGGGGAGATGGAGAAGCCACTGGACACCTCACAAAGCACAGACTGATGCTGCAACCCTGTTACAGTGGAGATGCAGGTCTTTGCTAAGCGCCACCCAGCTTTCATCTATTATGTGTCAATGTCATAGGCCTCATGGTGTCTGTCGTGTGAACTGATGCACAGGACACTTCCAAGATGCTTCTGGAATTTCCGTGGGGGGGGGGGGCTCTTTCTTCTCTGCCAGCAGTGTAGACCTGCCTGATTCAGATCCCAGCTTCTCCACAAAAAGTTGCAGTGTCTCAAGAGACACTTGCCACTTTGTACAAGGGAAGGAAAAGTTCTAAATGATCCAGAGGATTTTTCCTGAAACCAGCAGGAGTGCTGGGGAACATAAGATGAAGAAACACTTGAAAACAACGAATGAGCAGAGTGGAGGGAGTGACGGCCTGTCTCTGTTACCCGGAACTCCCACGCCCAGCAATCCCTCGTAATTTAGCCTAACACCCTTCAGCAAAGATGAAAGGAACACCATTCACTGCTCTCCAGCAAGAAATGTCTGCATCCTACAGGCCACTTAGACACAAGCATGGTATAAATCTGACTCCTAGTGGGGAAGCCCAGAGATTAGGCCTCCATGCACAGTCTACTGGAGTGACATGAATCAGCTTGGCACAGACAGAGATGGAACATACTTTTCAGGGCTTTTCTCCTCCTCCTCTTTCTTGTGGAAAGGAAAAAAATCTGGAGCAGTTCAGGACTGTTACTCCCCCTAACTGTCCCTCCTACTCGATTATGACATAAGCAATTGCAGATGAAAGCCGCAGCCATGGTTTATGGCATGGAGATGGAGCTGCACTACCTGTGAGGCCCTGTAGATCCATTTCAGGTTTCTGGAACCCTCCCAGCGGCTCATAAACATGGCCAGAGATGTCTGAGCTTGGCCCAGGAGGCGAGGGGCGGGGAGGGAGAGGCAGGAACTAGCCTCCGATAGTTCCCCAGTGATGAGCCTCATAAATGTCTCTCAGGCTGCGGGAGTGGAGGAAGGGCCTGGGATTTTCTGGGGGAGGGGAGAGAGAGGAAGGAAAAGATAGGGGGAGGAATTTATGAAGACAGAGTGTATAGGAAGCTCTTTAAGTCCACGTCCTGCGCCATGGGCCTGGAATTCCATTCATCTTGAGAAACAGTGGTCAGCTCTGGGTGTGACACACTTCAAGAGCAGCATTGAATATCCAAGTGGCAAAAGCGCAGCTGTTTACAAAGCAGAGACCATGTAGCTACTGTTGGACGATACCTCACTCATAGTTCTTCCCGGTGATCTCAACTCAGACACTGCTCAGGTTCCAGTGAAAGATCTGACTTTCCACTGGCTGCTTTCATCATATGCTTGAGAGGCAGTTGCCAATGGGCTGTGCACAGGATGACACTGTGAAACAGAGTGATGAAAATTCAGCCTCTGCCTCCCAGAGACATCTGAAGAGCAGAGCAGAAAGACCCAGCACCAACATGGTGCAAGCTCTGCTTGGAGGAGTGAGAGATAGAGCCTGGAAAAGGCTGCACAGTGCAAATGCCACCTGTGCTGCAAACAAAGGACAAGATGGGTGAACACAAGTTGCCAGGCAGGAAAGGAGAAAGAGAGGCCAGGTAGAAAAGAATGTTTCATGATATGGAACTAAGACATTAAAGGGGGTGGGTAGAGCACAAGGCTCCTGAAATCTAAAATTTTAGTGTGTATGCAAAGGAATTGAAAAGAAGTGTGAGACTCATCCTGTGCTCTTAAGGAACAGAACACTGCATCGGAAGAGGGCAAGCAAGGAGGGGGCAAAACGGTCCCAAAAAATAGTGCATGTTTGGGTTCCTCAGGCACAGCAAAGAGCAGAAGTGAAAATGTGAGCATACTGAAGAGAGAACAGATCAGCCAGATAGGCTAATGAAGAGACTTAGCTAAGGAAGGAAGGAGTGTGACTGGAAAGCCAGAGTTGTGGGACATGAGTATTTAGTGCAGTGTCCAGTATGCTACTTGGGACCATATTGGAATCCTAGATTTGAGTCCTGGCTCTATTTCTTCAAACAGCTTCATGTTAATGTGCAGGAAGGTTCAAGTCCTTAGATCCTTGCCACCCACATTAGAGACCCAAATGGAGTCCTGGACTTTTTCAGTTTCAGCTAGACCCAGCCCTAACTTTGGGGGACTTTTGCAGAGAAAATTAAAGGATGGAATATCTCTTCTGTCTGTTTTGGTCTCTGCCTTTTAAATACACAAAAATGGCAAACAAGCAAAAGTTTACCAAAAAAATAAATAAAAGCCACAAGTACTAGGGAAGGTTCCTGCCCAGCCAAAACTTGAAGCGTAGGGAGGGAGAGTGTGTAGGAGCGAGTAGGGGCCTCAAGCAAACAGTGCACATTGGGGAGGAAGCAGTGTAGGGCGGAGAGATCACCTGGATTCATTGCAGGGTCTGATGATCCAGAGCCAAAGTCATCTACAATGAGTCA